AGTGTGAAAGATATCAGTTTTATCAAGTTGATAGAATCCGATATTTCACTGGCAATAATGTAATAAATATATGAAATACATTTTAAAACGTTTCATGAAAAAGTACAAATCTATCATGGTCCCAACAACAACTTGAACTCTTTGAAAGAAAACGGAAGAGCATCGCATACGTTGTGTAACTCGACAAGTGCTGTCTTGGCTAGGCACTCATATAGAAGCCAGTGTCAAAGACGTTCTGAATAGTTTGCTGTTCTAAAAACTGCATACCTTAAACGCTAAACAACATTTCTTGTATTTGAAACAGATAAATATACAAATATTACCGATAGAAGTGCTAGATAAAATGACGTAACGTCACGTCGCTGTAGAAATACATCCTGCTGTTGTGAATATTAACGAAAACAACGTCTCTCGAGTAAAAGATCCTGCCTACGACCCTGCCGCCAGATTTCGTCCTCTACTTAACTTCGTCAACAGACAGTTCCTGCGCTTCATCATACCGAGGAGGGAACTGTGTGTTGATGAATCTTTGATGAGCACAAAAGGCCATTGTGTGATGCGCCAGTACATCCCCTCCAATGCCGCGAAGTACGGAGTTAAGTTTTGGATACTCTGTGAGTCTCCATATACAGAGGCCGATAATTCGACCCAACTCCGCGGGGGGAGCTACAGGGCAGTAATGTTGTATACAACCTACTGAGCGAGGCGTCCCTGCTTGACCGTGGTTACCACGTGTTTGCTGACAGTTTCTTCACTTCGATGCATCTTGGAAGAATGCTGCTGCAGCGCCATACCTATGTGACGGGTAGGGGTCAATATGTATATCCAGTTATAGTGCTCTATATAACTCACTTAGTTTTGAATTTTGAAAATTAATTAAAACGACTAAGGTTTTATAAACTTTGAACCCACGCACTACCTGTAACACGAGGAGCGTTTTTCTTTTTGTATTTTTTTTTCGGAGCCTCTTTGCGATTTACAATCATAAAAAAGATTGATAGTGTTACATTATCGGCATGCAGACAACAAATGAGAGCTTCATCTCCGAGTTGACACTCACTTTTTAGTATTTCCTTTACAAGTAAGGTTTGACAAAATCTACTTAATGTTTTCTTTTATGATACTGCTATATTAAGAATATTTATATTTTATTTATTGAAGGTACGCTACGGAAAAACAGACCGATGCCCCTGACTATACGGAATGCGGATCCGCAGTCAGGGGCCGCTGTATACATGAGACAGGGCAACTTCCTGTGTCTGGCAGGGTGTGGCTCTACTCTACTCTCCTGTAAGCGCAGGACCTTGCATGTGGGCGTCCTAGAATGGTCAATGCGTATAACCGTAATATGGGTGCCATTGACATGAATAAGGGGTGATTGAGTGCATATGGTGTCCAGCGGAAAATCAAGAAAGTCTGGAAAAAGGTGCTTCTACACATTTTCCACAGAATTATGCAAAATGCATACATACTCTACGGAGAGAACACAAATGATCGCCCCGTAATGACTCGACTTGGTCGTAGAGTCCTTATCAGGATGCAATGTCCCGGGCATGCCAAGGCGCGCACGTCAAAGAGGCCAGAACCTAGAAGTACTACCGCGTGGAAAAGTAAAAGATTGTTGCGTGTGTTCATCCAATGTGCGGCATGGCAGAGGTGTGCGCCACAGTAGCAGAACAATTTGCTCCATATGTAAAAGAGGCCTCCATAGGCACTGCCTCGAAAGGCACAACGCATGCGCAGAACTTTAAAAAAGACAATCTGGAAATAAATTTATGCTGAGCAATTTATGAAATATTGTTTTACTTATGGCACGTTAAAAGTCTGTTTAGCTTATCGTTTTTTTATGTATTTATTTATCGGTATTTTCGTCACTGTTTATGCTAGAATGTTAGTGCATGTACACTAGTTTATATAACTCTCTAACCATGACAGGAGATCAATATGTTTGTGTAACTTGTCAAAATACATTATGTACCAAGAGTATCTATTCAATACATCGTTGTTCATGATGTCATTATTGCGAATGCGTCACATTCTGTTTGCTAGAAGATTACGTCGTGAACGTAACATCCAAATGCTTGACACTCTAAAGAATAAAAAAAATATACGATGTTCCGTTTACATATTATACTCATGAATCAAAACTGCACAGAAAAAAACTCAAATAATTCGAACGCCGTAAAATTGCTGACGTTATAAAGGTAATGTTTGTTTACGCAACAACAATCATATGATGTATTTATGCACGCATCGGTACTAAAAAGGTTAATATAAAACCGCGTGCACCAGATTAGAAATAGTAAGTTGAACAGTGATCCGACAGTCTTACTGGGCCAACGTACACTGTAACGTTGGTGAAAACCCACGTGGAGCTCGCTTATCAGGATGATTTCAATGAATATAGAGTTCCTCTATTTGGACTTTCTCGTACAAATCTTTCCTTTATACCTTCCACTCTTCGTAGCTGGAACTCGATAGATCTATCAGTACGATCGTTGCCTTCTATATATTTATTTAAAAACTCTCTTACTTCAAATGTACAACCATACCGTCTATCTACATCAGTTTCGAAACGTAAATTGAATATCATAAAACCTAAACTGAGGCAAAGTTAGAGTTCACTAAGTATGATCTTTACAGAGTTAATCTTGTCAAAAGTCCATTTTGCATATGTGGACATCCATGTAAGAATACCTTTCACTTTTTCTTTGAGTGTCCGCTTTTTAGCAATGAATGGCGTATTTTTTCAAAATTTGAAAGCCTTAGGTATAGATTTAAATTTAGAGCTTCTTTTGTTTGGCAGTTTAGATCTTTCGGTGGACCTTAATTTTTACGTTTTTAGACATGTGCATCACTTAATCAAATCCATCAATAGATTTTGAACGGTGTTTTTTAAAGTTGTGTATTTCTACATCTGTACCTGTGTGAATATTATATATATCTACCTCATGTTTATGCCTATTATCATTTTTGTCATGTAATTGTAAATGTATGACGGGAGAAGGCTGTGATAAGTTGTAATAACTTGTGCCCAATCCCTTGTTCAATTTTATTGACAATAAATATGTTTAAAGTATCAGGATGTGTTTTCTCAGCGTCAATGGGTAATCCAATATTATTTTGATTCCACAGTCCATCGATTTTTCACCACTGAATAAAATCATCTACTGTCGTCTAAAGCTTGCAATAATTGCCATTACAACTTAGACAAAAGCAATGGCTTGCAGTCGTACATCGCGCGCTGAACTGTGTCGGCCCTGGTGGTAGAAGCTTACACAATATTGGTGTCGGCCACAGTACACAAGTGAGTGGGCAGAATGTTTTTTTCTGGGATTTAGTTGCTGATTGTTGTCTATTCTTAAAGCTAGAATTGAATTAAACAAGAGGCCCAATGGGCCTGCATCGCTCATCTGGTATTAATCTCACACTTGTAACCTTAAAAGTGGACGAAAATAAAGATACATGAACAATATCAGTGTCTTGCATTGACTCAAATTCATACAAAAAGAACCTGTTAAAGGTTTTTAACACATTTGACCTTTTGTTTATTAAGAAGATGACTTTTAAAGGTTTAAACACAAATGAACAGATGTGACCTTGAAGATGTCAAGGTCATTCATAAGAAAAAAATTGTAGCTCTTCATCCCAGCATGCTACTGGGTAAATATCATGTCCTAGTCGTATTTCTATTGAGGAGAAGTCGTTAAAGTTTTTGACATATTTTACCCCTGTGACATTGAATATGGGCGAAGGTCATTCTTCCCAGCCAAATATAATCACCCTGGACCTTTTGGTTATTAAGAAGAAGTTGTTTAAAGATTTCAACATATTTGACCCTTGTGACCTTGAATATGGGTGAAGGTCATACATTTGAACATTTTTTGTAGCACTTCATGACAGCATGCTTCTGGCTAAATATCATCACCATGGGCCTTTGGTTATTCAGAAGATGTTGTTTTAAGTTTTTAACATATTGGAATCTTGATTTATGACCTTGAATACGAGTCAAGCATTCTACTGGTCAAATATCATCACCTTGGTCCTTTTGGTTATTCAGAAGAAGTCGTTCAAAGGTTTTTAAAAAAGATTGACCACTGTGACCTTGAATATGGAAGAAGGTCCTTCATGTGAACAAACTCGGTACATGTAGCACTTCATCCAAGCATGCTACATGTACTCAAATATCATCACCCTTGGCATTTTGGATATTCAGAAGTAGTTGTTTAAAGCTTTAAGATATTTGACCCCTATGAACTTGGAATATGGGTGAAGGTCATTCATTTGTACAAAATTGGTAGCCCTTCATCCAAGTATGCTTCTGTAAAAATGTCATCAACTTTGGCCTATTAGTTATTGAGAAGAAATTGTTTAAACAGAAGAGTTGACACCAGACAGACGCCGGACGCCGCACAGGGCACAAGCTCACTTGGCCGTTTAGAGCCAATGGCTACTTTGGCTACCAACAGCCTGGGCCCTGGTCCAAGAAATATGAAGCTATGACTTGACCTCCTAGCTTTAACACATCATTCTCTCCTATTTTCCCTCACAAATACCCCTCATCTGTACCTAATTGATAATAACATTTAATTTGGCTATATAAATATATTTTACAAACTTGGTCAATTTAGGTATTTTTGATCAAATTTTACCTAGTGAAGAAATTCATTTTATATTCTGGTACTTGACTATATTAACAAAAGTGAAGGAGTTTTACTTAATAGTCCTGTCGATACAGTTTCACGAGGAAGTCCAGTCCTGTCAGGCTCATTGACCACATTTTATCAAAGATAAAAACTTATCTTAGGATAAGAGATGACCAATCTCCTAAGAAAGGTCCATTCAGGTACTTGAATGTGAGTTTGTTTTGAATTCAGGATACTTCTGTTGGTGTGAGAGCTTGTTCTGATAAGGGACAGACAAGATCAATGTTACAGTTGTGTGAACTCTAGTTTCTCAGTGGCAAATATCTAGTATCTATATAACAACAAAAACATGTATAGGAACAATAAGAAACTTGCGTTTATTTTTCCACAAAAAAAATAACAAATTACAGTAAATAACAGTTTTGTCAAATATGAAGCACTTAAAGAGAGTATCACAAACTTCTGAACATGTTCTGGCCAACAGAACTCACAGAATGTATTTCTTCATCATCGTCTGTCCTCTTTAGAACAAGTACACACTTTTTCATTATCAGTGAGGAATTATCTCCACCTTACAATACATCTAAATAACCATTGGTGTACAGTTACACAATTTCTAAATAATATCACAAACAGCCATTTAATTAAAGTAATGTTTTATGTTTTCTACATTATTAATTGTTCTTCTACCACTAAATTTTAAAATATTGATTTATTCTATAAAAAGCAAAATGACAGAGAAAATAACATAAACATTATACTAGAGTCTATCACATAGTAAAAGTAAACAGGGAACAACATAACACGGTAAGTAACATTTTCCAAACAGTGCCGTTATGTCTTGCTCTCTAATCGGAACCACAGGACAATTCCATTACAGTAAAGTATCCAAGTATTTCCAAAGCTATTTTCCATGGTAATAAGCCATAGCCTGATCTAAATCGGAGATGACCAATCTCCTAAGAAAGGTCAACTGTAGTTGTTTCTCTACTGTAAATGACCTTTCACCTCTCAGTTTCCAGCCAATCAGAATCTGCGTGACAAGTATCATCAAACTTTCAGTGATGTGCTTTTTTGATGGTCGGTTTCCAGGTTCTAACCAATCAGGGAAGTGTAAGTAGATCTGGAGCAGATTTGCAGCCATTTCTGGTTCAGGTCTCTACAACAAGTACAATAATTGTGAAATTATGATGATAAAACACAACTTTTACTGAAATATTAAACACTTCTCTAGATGTATGGTTGCTTTCTGCTCTTTCTTTTTCAAAAGACAGCTCAACGGACAATATAAGAAATCAAATTAAATTCATTTTCAGCTACAGACTACGGGTATATGGCCTTAATCATTCAGTTGTATTTATTTCACTCATATATTTGCATGTGCCTGCTACAAAAAAAATTGGGGGTGTGTATGTGAAAAAATAACTCTGAATAACACATAATCTCAACTTGTTATGTCAGACCTAAATCAGATAAAAAATACTCTTTTTTTGAAACAGATTTTGTTAATATCTCAATTCTCTAAAATATTTTTAGAAATTACTTTTAACTGTTGTAAAACAAAGTTTTGAAATACGACAGGTCGGTTTAAAATTTCTGTTGAACTCGCTGTAACATCGAGACATCAAGAAACTTGAAACGTACCTGATTTGGATTACGACGAAGCATCCTAGGAACAAGGAACCTGACGACATCAGGGACGTCACCTATAAAGAAAGAGCAATTTCAAAATAAACAAAAAACAAGAGGCCCAGAGGGCCTGTATCGCTCACCTGAATATGTTTAAAATAATTGGTATGAAGTAAAGATATAGCACTCCATGGTAGGTGCTGTAAGTACATATGAAATTTCAGAAAGTTCCATCCAGTACTTGAGATATAGCAAGAACAAACTTCAAACAGAGCCCCACCCCTATGCCCCTAGGGGGGTCATACACACCAATTATACAAAATTGAGACCCTTTGGTCCAAGGATGCTCCAGACTAAATATGGAAAAAAATCCCTTAATCTTGATGGTTGAAGAAGGATTTTAAAGGTTTTACCTCTATTTCTCCTATTGGGCCCGCCCTTCTGCCCCCTGGGAGACCACACCCACTGCATATACAAAATTGAGTCCCCTTGCCCCAAGGATAAAATCCCTAAATCCCTATGATAAAAGAAGGATTTTAAAGGGGGGGTTAGACACACCGTTTATACAAAATTGGTTCCCCTTCACCCAATGATGCTTCATACCAAAGGACCTGTTACAGGAACAAAAGAATTTTGCCCACAAAGCAATTTAACCATTACTGGTTTATATTTGTAGCTCCCTAAGACACGACCCATGAGATATTTTCAAAAAATTAAAAAGGTCCCCAGGGCCTGTGCTATGAACTATTTAGTGCCGCCTTCCAAAGGTGTATGACAGGGTTCACTTTATTGTCCAAAAAACTATCAAAACAATGTTTTACGCTATCAAATAATATTATATTATTTAAAGTAGGATCTGCTGCAAATTATGAACTCAAATATTTAACAAAAAATTGCATAATAAAAAAGTTATAAAATCTTAAACTCTAAAAATGTTGGTATTTTCATACACTTTTTTGCTACATCAATTGTTTTACGGAAGTAAAACACCAATTTCCGGTTCTTGTACACCAAAAATCTTTTAATATTATTTGGTGCATTATGTTTTGATATGATAGTAAAAATTTCAGGAACTTTGAGAACCGGTAAATTTGTCATATAAATGTCAAATTGTAGCAACGTCTATTTCCAATAAAATCCAACAACCTTATGACCTATAGTCATGTTTGATAATTTAACAATATGTCGCACCAATTTATTATCGCAACTGATCAAATTTTCATCAATAAGGTCTGCTGCTCATGATGAGCCCAACTATAAAGCTAGATGTTGCAAAATAAAAAAGTTATGCAGTCTCACACACATAAAAGTTTAGTATGTTATGTACATTTTTAGTTGTTTCGCATCTTTACGGAAGTGATAGACATATTTCCGGTTTTTGTACACCAACATACTTTGGATATTATTTGGCACATTATGTTGACTGACGATAGTAGAAATTTCGAAAAAATCGGTATGCGGTAAATGTGTCATCTTAAGGATAATATGTTGTATGACCAATGTCAAAATAAATCTTCAATAACTACAGGTCAATGCAAGTACTTCATAATTAACCCAAAATCATTCCAATATACTATCAAGGTGGATGATATGGTTTATAGTAGAGTATACGTATGACTGTTTAACTAAACTAGGTAGTTAAAGGGGGGAATACAGCAAAAGTTAGGCAATTTGTCAGAACAATTGGTGTACCAGTATAATATGTTGAACCCATCACATTGTTTCTTTTTAGGAGAGTTATAGTTTCCAATTCATGGATTGTTGTATTTACAGTGGTTTTTTTTTAATTTGACAACACAAAGTCAAAATTGATCATTCAAATTTTTATTCTGAATTTCTCCTTTCTCAGTTCAATCTTAGGTCTCATTATTTTTTCATATTATTCCCGACAAGTAATTGGCCAGAAGTGCATCAAGTGTCGACTGATAAAAACTGATATTGACTTGGAGCACATGATTTTTGTTGAAGGACTGGGTGTTTCTAAAAATAGAATTATGACGTGTCTCCAAACAATGCACCATCCCACTTCCGAAGTTTTTTTGTTTTTTTTTCAGATTGCTTAGATTACTGTTTTGTAAAATAATAAAACAATTGAAGCTTTTAACTTCGGTTAATACCTGGATTTATCGACCCGAGAAAAGATATATTGACCTCGGAATGCGTCCTCGGTTAATATATCTTTTCTCGGGTTGATAAATCCAGGTATCGACCTCAGCCAAAGGCTATAATTGAATAATGTTTCTTTTTTGAATGCATTCATAATATGCAGTCTCTGAATTTGCGAGCTGAAGGCTGGAGCGGTTTAGCATCTGTTAAATGTGCATAGTATCATAGATAATACAGTATTGATGCGACATGAGTACACATACCCGATGTTCTCTTTCCTGCAGGACACACACAGTAGTATGCTTTGACAGGATCTTCTGATGCGTGTAGGTCAAACTCTATCCAGATATTGTATTTTGCCTGCGACCTGTGGCGAGGGTGTATTTGGCCTCGGAGAAGGTCATCAGCATGTTGGTACACCCATATCTCACAATCACCCCCATCTGCCTGATGTTCTGTGATATAGCCAGGTGCCAGCTTCAGCTGATATATACCACAAGCCAAAATCGCATTGACCTGTAGTTATTGACGATTTATTTTGATATTGGTCATACAACATATTATCCTTAAGATGACATATTTACCGGACACTGATTTTTTCGAAATTTCTACTATCGTCGGTCAACATAATGTGCCAAATAATATCCAAAGTATGTTGGTGTACACATACCGAAAATATGTCTATCACTTCTGTAAAGATGCGAAACAACTAAAAATGTACATAACATACTAAACTTTTATGTGTGTGAGACTGCATAACTTTTTTATTTTGCAACATCTAGCTTTATAGTTGGGCTCATCATGAGCAGCAGATCTTATTGATGAACATTTGATCAGTTGCGATAATAAATTGGTGCGACATATTGTTAAATTATCAAACATGACTATAGGTCATAAGGTTGTTGGATTTTATTTGGAAATAGACGTTGCTACAATTTGACATTTATATGACAAATTTACCGGCTTTCAACTTTGCTGAAATTTACACTATCGTATCTCAACATAATGCACCAAATAATATTAAAAGATTTTTGGTGTACAAGAACCGGAAATTGGTGTTTTACTTCGGTAAAACAATGGATGTAGCAAAAAAGTGTATGAAAATACCAACATTTTTAGAGTTTAAGATTTTATAACTTTTTTATTATGCATTTTTTTGTTACATATTTGAGTTCATAATTTGCAGCAGATCCTACTTTAAATAATATAATATTATTTGATAGCGTAAAACATTGTTTTGATAGTTTTTTGGACAAAAAAGTGAACCCTGTCTTACACCTTTGGAAGGCGGCACTAAATAGTTCATAGCACAGGCCCTGGGGACCTTTTTAATTTTTTAACAATATCTCATGGGTCGTGTATTAGGGAGCTACAAATATAACCCAGTAATGGTTAAATTGCTTTGTGGGCAAAATTCTTTTGTTCCTGTAACAGGTCCTTTGGACAAAATTCTGTCATTCGTACAGAAGAAGAAGGTATTTGAAGAATTTGCTATGTTTCCCCTATTGGGCCCCTCCCTTCTGTCCCCAGGGGGGCCACACTCGCTGTTCATACGAAATTGAGTCCCTTTAGTCCAAGGATGCTCCAGACTAAATTAGGATAAAATCCCTCAATCCATATTGTAGAAGAAGGATTATAAAGGATTTACTTCTATTCCCCCTATTGGGCCCCGCCCCTTAGGCCCCTGGCGGGCCAGACCCATGGTTTATACAAAATTGGTTCCACTTCACCCAAGGATGCTTCAGACTAAATATGGAACAAATCCTTTCATTCCTACAGAAGAAGAAGGATATTAAAGAATTTGCTATATTTCCCCTATTGGGCCCCGTCCCCAGCCCCCAGGGGTGCCAGACCCACTATTTATACAAAATTGGTTCCCCTTCACCCAAGGATGCTCCAAAACAAATATGGAACAAATCCTTTCATTCCTACAGAAGAAGAAGGATATTAAAGAATTTGCTATATTTCCCCTATTGGGCCCCGTCCCCAGCCCCCAGGGGTGCCAGACCCACTGTTTATACAAAATTGGTTCCCGTTCACCCAAGGATGCTCCAAAACAAATATGTAACAAATACTTTCATTCCTACAGAAGAAGAAGGATTTTAAAGAATAATTTGCTATGTTTCCCCTATTGGGCCCCACCTCTCAGGCCCCTGGCGGGCCAGACCCATGGTTTATACAAAATTGGTTTCCCTTCACCCAAGGATGCTTCACACCAAATATGGAACAAATCCTTGCATTCCTATAGAAGAAGAAGGATTTTAAACAATTTGCTATATTTCCCCTATTGGGCCCCAGCCCCCAGGGGGGCCGCACCCACCATTTATACAAAATTGAGTCCCCTTGGCCCAAGGATGCTCGAGACTAAATTAGGATAAAATCCTTAAACCCCTACAGTAGAAAAAGGATTTTCAAGGTTTTACCTCTATTTCCCCTTTTGGGGCCCGCCCTCTGCCCCCAGGGGGGCCGCACCCACCATTTATACAAAATTGAGTCCCCTTGGCCCAAGGATGCTCCAGACTAAATTAGGATAAAATCCTTAAACCCCTACAGTAGAAAAAGGATTTTCTAGGTTTTACCTCTATTTCCTCTTTTGGGGCCTGCCCTCTGCCCCCAGGAGGGCCACACCCACTGTTTATACAAAATTGAGTCCCCTTGGCCTAAGGATACTCTAGACCAAATTTAGTCAAAATCTACTGGGCCGTTCAGGACTAGTAGCGTTTTAAAGGACGGACGACGGACGACGGACGGAGATTTATGACTATTACAGGAAGGGACATACATGGGTAACACCCTAATCCTCCACCGCCCAACAGGACCCCAGCGACCACCAGAGTAGCATAATTGTATTTGCAATTTCAAAGTAAGCACTGAGGCATGAAATGTCACACATGGACAGACATCACACATAATTGTTATATTCCTTCAAACCAATATTATACATAATGAAATACTGAAGCACACATATGATGGGATATCATTATCTATATAAAGTTGACCATACCTGACATAGATGGGATGTCAGTATCTATATAAAGTTTGACCATACCTGACATAGATGGGATGTCAGTATCTATATAATGTTTGACCATACCCGACATAGATGGGATATCAGTATCAATATAAAGTTGACCATACCTGACATAGATGGGATATCAGTATCTATATAAAGTTTGACCATACCTGACATAGATGGGATGTCAGTATCTATATAAATTTTGACCATACCCGACATAGATGGGATGTCAGTATCTATATAAATTTTGACCATACCTGACATAGGTGGGATGTCAGTATCTATATAAATTTTGACCATACCCGACATAGATGGGATGTCAGTATCTATATAAATTTTGACCATACCTGACATAGGTGGGATGTCAGTATCTATATAAAGTTTGACCATTCCTGACATAGATGGGATGTCAGTATCTATATAATGTTTGACCATACCCGACATAGATGGGATATCAGTATCAATATAAAGTTGACCATCCCTGACATAGATGGGATGTCAGTATCTATATAATGTTTGACCATACCCGACATAGATGGGATATCAGTATCAATATAAAGTTGACCATCCCTGACATAGATGGGATATCAGTATCTATATAAAGTTTGACCATACCTGACAAATATGGGATGTGAGTATCTATATAAAGTTTGACCATACCTGACATGGATGGGATGTCAGTATCTATATAAAGTTTGACCATTCCTGACATAGATGGGATGTCAGTATCTATATAATGTTTGACCATACCCGACATAGATGGGATATAAGTATCAATATAAAGTTGACCATACCTGACATAGATGGGATATCAGTATCTATATAAAGTTTGACCATACCTGACATGGATGGGATGTCAGTATCTATATAAATTTTGACCATACCTGACATAGGTGGGATGTCAGTATCTATATAAATTTTGACCATACCTGACATAGGTGGGATGTCAGTATCTATATAAATTTTGACCATACCCGACATAGATGGGATGTCAGTATCTATATAAAGTTTAACCATACCTGACATAGATGGGATGTCAGCATCTATATAAATTTTGACCATACCTGACATAGACGGGATGTCAGTATCTATATAAAGTTTGACCATACCTGACATAGATGGGATGTCAGTATCTTGGTAGGTTCTCCCATCAAGTTTCCTAGTTATCCTGGCACCACCGTAGAATGGGTTGTCCTGGCCGAACACTTCATAGGCAAGTGATCCCACTGCCCACAGGTCAGACTTACTGAAGTCTAACCTCACTTTACGTCCTGGTGTTGTACAAGATATCTGTAACATTACAACACAGCATTATTTATAGAAAGTATCTTAAGCACATAGTTCTATAACATATGCTGTTACAAATGAGTTATAGTGTTAACAATTTATTCAGGTCAAAGTATTTTCGACCAACTATGAACTAGCATCAAAACATTATAGGTATGACCTTAGTAGAACAGTTACCCTAGGGTGTTTTCCCCAGATGATGTTCTGTCTCTTTTCAACATTCTGAACTTACGTGCTGGTACCTGCACCACCCTACACAACCCTGTCACATTCCTCATATTTTCCCGAAGACAGATACCTATATATATTCCTATATTTATGTGGGAAAACAACTCTTGTAGCATGACCAACGTTTAACTCCTTTCGCAGTTGGCGACAGTGACCATTACTGTTAAAAAAAAATTTTGAAGCATCTTTAACCCAGCATTTTTTGTCTTTCTTGATATCAATTTAGAAGTCATGCCTCAATTCTAATAACTCATCTGATTTCACTGATTTCATTTTAGTTTACCTTATATATGAAAATTATCTAGTGCGTGTCTAAAATGCATGTGTCCTTATATCTAAGAGTGTTTACAATGCATTTGTCCTTATAAACCTTATATCTAAGATTGTTTGCAATGCATTTGTCCTTATAAACTTTATATCTTAGATTGTTTACAATGCATTTGTCCTTATAAACCTTATATCTTAGATTGTTTACAATGCATTTGTCCTTATAAACCTTATATCTAAGATTGTTTACAATGCATTTGTCCTTATAAACCTTATATCTAAGATTGTTTACAATGCATTTGTCCTTATAAACCTTATATCTAAGATTGTTTACAATGCATTTGTCCTTATAAACCTTATATCTAAGATTGTTTACAATGCATTTGTCCTTATAAACCTTATATCTAAGATTGTTTACAATGCATTTGTCCTTATAAACCTTATATCTAAGATTGTTTACAATGCATTTGTCCTTATAAACCTTATATCTAAGATTGTTTACAATGCATTTGTCCTTATAAACCTTATATCTAAGATTGTTTACAATGCATTTGTCCTTATAAACCTTATATCTAAGATTGTTTACAATGCATTTGTCCTTATAAACCTTATATCTAAGATTGTTTACAATGCATTTGTCCTTATAAACCTTATATCTAAGATTGTTTACAATGCATTTGTCCTTATAAACCTTATATCTAAGAGTGTTTACAATGCTTTTGTCCTTATAAACCTTATATCTAAGATTGTTTACAATGCATTTGTCCTTATAAACCTTATATCTAAGATTGTTTACAATGCATTTGTCCTTATAAACCTTATATCTAAGATTGTTTACAATGCATTTGTCCTTATAAACCTTATATCTAAGATTGTTTACAATGCATTTGTCCTTATAAACCTTATATCTAAGATTGTTTACAATGCATTTGTCCTTATAAACCTTATATCTAAGATTGTTTACAATGCATTTGTCCTTATAAACCTTATATCTAAGATTGTTTACAATGCATTTGTCCTTATAAACCTTATATCTAAGATTGTTTACAATGCATTTGTCCTTATAAACCTTATATCTAAGATTGTTTACAATGCATTTGTCCTTATAAACCTTATATCTAAGATTGTTTACAATGCATTTGTCCTTATAAACCTTATATCTAAGATTGTTTACAATGCATTTGTCCTTATAAACCTTATATCTAAGATTGTTTACAATGCATTTGTCCTTATAAACCTTATATCTAAGATTGTTTACAATGCATTTGTCCTTATAAACCTTATATCTAAGATTGTTTACAATGCATTTGTCCTTATAAACCTTATATCTAAGATTGTTTACAATGCATTTGTCCTTATAAACCTTATATCTAAGATTGTTTACAATGCATTTGTCCTTATAAACCTTATATCTAAGATTGTTTACAATGCATTTGTCCTTATAAACCTTATATCTAAGATTGTTTACAATGCATTTGTCCTTATAAACCTTATATCTAAGATTGTTTACAATGCATTTGTCCTTATAAACCTTATATCTAAGATTGTTTACAATGCATTTGTCCTTATAAACCTTATATCTAAGATTGTTTACAATGCATTTGTCCTTATAAACCTTATATCTAAGATTGTTTACAATGCATTTGTCCTTATAAACCTTATATCTAAGATTGTTTACAATGCATTTGTCCTTATAAACCTTATATCTAAGATTGTTTACAATGCATTTGTCCTTATAAACCTTATATCTAAGATTGTTTACAATGCATTTGTCCTTATAAACCTTATATCTAAGATTGTTTACAATGCATTTGTCCTTATAAACCTTATATCTAAGATTGTTTACAATGCATTTGTCCTTATAAACCTTATATCTAAGATTGTTTACAATGCATTTGTCCTTATAAACCTTATATCTAAGATTGTTTACAATGCATTTGTCCTTATAAACCTTATATCTAAGATTGTTTACAATGCATTTGTCCTTATAAACCTTATATCTAAGATTGTTTACAATGCATTTGTCCTTATAAACCTTATATCTAAGATTGTTTACAATGCATTTGTCCTTATAAACCTTATATCTAAGATTGTTTACAATGCATTTGTCCTTATAAACCTTATATCTAAGATTGTTTACAATGCATTTGTCCTTATAAACCTTATATCTAAGATTGTTTACAATGCATTTGTCCTTATAAACCTTATATCTAAGATTGTTTACAATGCATTTGTCCTTATAAACCTTATATCTAAGATTGTTTACAATGCATTTGTCCTTATAAACCTTATATCTAAGAGTGTTTACAATGCATTTGTCCTTATAAACTTTATATCTAAGAGTGTTTACAATGCTTTTGTTCTTATAAACCTTATATCTAAAAGTGTTTACAATGCATTTGTCCTTATAAACCTTATATCTAAGAGTGTTTACAATGCCTTTGTCCTTATAAACCTTATATCTTAGAGTGTTTACAATGCCTTTGTCCTTATAAACCTAATATCAAGGAGTGTTTACAATGCATACATTCTCGTTGACTTTACTTAACTAACCTAGTCAGTATCAAGAGTTGTCACTTGGAGATATATATTTACCTCTGGCGGCATCAAAGCCCCGTTTCCACCTTTGTTGATCTCATCTGTTGGGTAAGGAAGCTGTAAACCATTTTCCTCATCAGCTAGACAGCATCCGAAGTCACTGATCACAAGATGAGGGGCAGTTGCCTCTGATAAACAAAGAAATGGAGAAAAAAATTAGAGGCAGTGACCTCTAAAACATAAAGAAATGGAGAAAAGGTTTGAGGCAGTGTGCTCTAAAACACTGAAAAATGGAGTAAAGATGAGGAACTGAGACCAAACCTTTTTTTATCCTAACCAAATACATGATTATATTTTCTTGTTTCTCTTAACATGTAAAATTGACAAACATTAAGGAACTCTTTTTATAATTTTATACAACTACCATTATGACAATCCAATAAGATGTTATCACTCTTCAGGTCCCTGTGTGCAATGCTGTGTTGTCGCAGATGAACAGTGCCCTCTAACAACTGACAGAGAAGAAGACACCTGATACGGGGAGATAACTCCTCTTGTGCTAAAAACTCTCTTAGGGTCATATCATACCTACAAAATACAAACATTTATATAACTTAACATGTTACCAACTTACATAACTTTTACATAGCTGTTAAAGAAGGTAGCTTAACATGAAAACTTATAAATAAGGATTGATTTTTTTATCTGAAAATTATTCATACAAATCCAATTCTGTGTTCTGATCCAGAAAGATTCACTTTTATTACAGAATTCTTTGAACAACATGGCACTTGAATGCATTATCATACTCAAACTAAGTTGAACATCACTTCTATTTCCTTTTAACAACAACAAAACCAACATGTATTGTCTACTATACTATTTATATTTACAAGTCCTTTCAAGGTAAAAAGATCAGTTTCAACTTGATGCATACTGTGTCATTTAACATAATTCTTCAAAATCAGTTCTTTTTTAATGAAACTTGGCAAAAGATAATTATTTCTTGGAGACAGTTCAACTTGTAACAAATCATTGTATTTTTCATGTATGTTTAACGTAATATTCCTTATATGACCAGAACATAGGTTTTGTGCTTTCCTAGTCTTTTATGCTTCCCAAGTAAGGAAATTTATTTTACGAATCTGCATGTTTTAAAGATATATATACACTTGCACTTGCTTTTGAAAACAAATGAAACAGGAAACTGGGTCAAAGAAATACAAATCTTGCCTGGATTAGCTTCTTGGACAGAAATTTTCATGATATCAAAATCTGGAAGTAATTTTCACAAGATGATTTTGTAACTCACTTTTTCATGACAAGGAACATGGTTTGGTTGCGTCCCAGACCTTGAGGATTCAGTCTCTGAGGGAGAGCTGCTGGGTAGTTATCCAGAGCACCAGGCAGGTCAGGCAGAGGATCAACAAACACGCCCAGCATCTCCACAATGTTAGGGTGACCAGGCAGCGACTTCAGACGCACTCGGTTCCTGGAAAAACAATTAATGCTACAGAATGATTCCACCTTCTTCTTTTCTTCCCTGTGCAGAATTTTAAATGTTATTTACAATGTCTACTCACATATAATCTTCTAGTAAAGCAGTAATGAGTGTTACAATATTTAACCAATATATAATTCTTCTAGTAATTTAAAGTCATTTAAAAAATTATGTCCATATATATACGCTGTTTATCCCTCTAGTAAAGATCGCTTTCAATATTTACCATCACATAATCCTTCTGGTAAAGGTTTTTAAGAATAATTTATCTGGGCATAGTTCTTTTATAAAGGTTTTTACAATTAAACTTTGTCCATACATACCCAGGTAATTTATCTCCAAAAGATGTTTATTGTATTAACCTAATCTAAATCATACATATTCCTTCTAGTAAAGGTAGTTTACAATATCTACCCAAACATGATTCTTCTAGTAAAGGCTGCTAAAAAGTATTTATTTCAAAGTATTTGTCCATGTATAATCCATCAGTATTAAAAGTTTACCCGTTTTGCCAGAGCTGGTGATCATCCTGATCGACGGTCAACGTCCTTGCTGGGACAGCTTCCTTCAGCATTGCCCGCATGATGGCATCAGTGTTAGACTCGATGTCATAATTGTACATCATCTTTATAGCTAGATAATAGTCATCACTGTTCTGTTGTCCAATCAGGTTATGTCCAGGGTCTGGTTCAGTTGTCTCCCCTTGTCTCTCTAAACACAGAAAACATTCAATGATTCCTTATGTTAGAATCTGATAAAGGACATGGAAGGACACAGAATTTGTCAATTAGCCCCAATTTTACAATGCTACTGACTACACAACAACATCTCTTCAGCTACAAACTACAACATATTTATCTACTGTATCGCACCTGACTTCAATATAAAACCAAGAAAAATCTCAGAACTCGCTTTTCTAAGCATCTTTTCTTTATCTCTAACTGAATAAGATAAAGAGGGAATATAATTTCTAGTTAAAAGAATTAATACCGCATAATGAACTTAATAAGATGCATCCAACTTCTTTTCAGATATTTGCAGAAACTACTATTAATATTCCATCACACATGAAAAATGAATTAACCTCTAAGGTAACTAACCTGTTGAATCTACCCAGTCTAAAGATTTGTCAATTGATCATACATACTTGTTTTTGAAAACCTCACCTGAACCATTATTGAATGTGGAATCATTGTCCTGCCCCTGATCGTAGACACCTTCCTCGGTGTCCTCATCAAGCAGGTCTCCAATGATGACAATGTCACTGTCATCATTTCCATAGTCATGAATAAAGACATCGTCGTCAAGGTCGTGTCTTTGTGGAAGAATGACTATGTCATCATCCATTTCCACAAGGTCGGAGAGTTCACCGTCATCGCCGATGACAACGATGTCAATGTCTGTTTCATTGGAGATAATGCTGTTGTTGTCGTCATCTTCGAAGTGGGCTGGCTGAACAAATTCTGTTTAATAAAAAAATCTTATTGTGCAACAATTACATTTAAACATCACTCAAACATAATAAAATATTACATAGTCTAGATGATCAATTGGTAATGACTTAAAAATTGCAATGATGGAATAAATTCATCTGTTTCAAATGACTGAAATGAGAGACTTTAATGAAAGACATACTTTCAGAATGCAACATATAGGATGGCCATTGGTAACACTATATGCTAAGCCTCCCCACCCCTCAACACACATGAAATGGCCAGGGCATTCAAAACAAAACGTTCTTTCTGTTTTTCATAATTAGGATTCATTTCAACGAATGTGGAAAAAATAAGCTTGTTCTGAATTGGTATAGGGTCCCTTTTAACAGACTTAAATAGTGGAATAATAAATCTCTGAAAAAATAAGCAGGATACAGTAGTATTATAATACTGACCACCGGTAATTTATAATTACCTTCACATTGAGGTGATTTCAACTTTGCGTCGTACACTGCAGCATTACAACCTTGGCCGATTAGATTCCCCAGATCAAAGGCTCCCAGTGAAAGTTGTTGTACGTTGTCAAGAATGGATCTTTTCTCTTGGCGCTCACCGAAAATATCCTAAAACAAATAACCACTTTATCATTTACAAAGAAACTGATTAAATGAAGAGTGACCATCACTTTTTTCCAAAATTTTTTGTCAAGATGTCATATATATTTACCTACATGTATCATAAACATTGAAAATGTTTCTATAGCTCCGGTGTCATTTAAATGACACATATCATCAATATGTGATCATCTTGATAAAGTTATATCTTTTTTCATTGGAAAATATTGCTATGCTTGTACCAGGATATCTATTGAACCCAAACTCTAAAACAAGTTTGTGAAAATTTTAATATTTTAACATTTTACATTACATAAAACAACTACATTTGTAAGTAGCTATGCAAATGTGTTCATTTAATTATTTGAAATTCTGATAGACAAACACTGGCAGAATGGTTTTACATGTAATATTTATGACCACTTATTTACTTGAATTGTACATTGTCATATAATGAAAAGTTGCCTGAAGTAGAATATGTGGTAGTATTGTGTAATTGTATCTCTTGTTATGGATACAGATCGAGGCTTAGAGTCTGCGTCCATCACAATTCCTAATCATACACTTTGCACAATAATAATTCAATTTGTACTAATTGCTGAAGTCTGGTGTTACAATTGTAGCGGGACAGGATCAAGTCAATCATCGGCGACCAGATAGCTCAATTGGTAGAGTATCCGTCTATAGTTTGGAGGGTCCCGCCCTTTTTTGCTCCAAGTGTTAAAAAGAAATTTGTGTGTTTTCATATCACTTTATTCCCCATTTCAGTAATAAAATTGTTACTCAAATGGGTAACTGTTACCCAAATGCAGGAATATTACCCATATGCGTCGTTGTGCCCAACCTGATTAATTACAAATATCAGATTAAGAAACACTTCTGAAGAAAAAAAGCAACTATTACAAATTTAAGTATACAATCCCACTTTACAAAACTTAATAGTATTGCATACTCGGACTTCGGACGACAAATCATCTTTGTCCACCTCCTGTTGTTGGAGAGCAACTCCCGCAAAGGCCAACGCGAAAGTGGGTAGAAGTGTTGGTCGATTTGGTAGTGCAAAACGAATAGCTGCTCTTCTACGCAGTTCACTCGCCAATGTCCTCGTGGAAACAAGTGGAAAGAGTCTTCCTATTAGCAGTGGTTGTTTCGGCTGGATTGGAGTTGCCTTGACGGTGTAAGCAGGTTTTGCTCTGACAGCAACTGGCTGCTTTTCGATTTTGTTACGGATAGCACTTTGAACCACCTGCTTTCCATGCCTCCACACCTTTGAAATTATAAGTCTGGCTGACATATTGTTGTTTTCTTTGAGAGCCTGGGCTTGAAGCCCTAAGGCTCGAGTAAATTGGTTTACTGCAATAGTTAATGTCTGTCAAAATTCTGATGAAAGAACTGCGCAGATTACATCTTCCCCTTCAACAATATCTTCGTGAAGGGGGACGAGGTATTCCGATGAGAAATATTTCCGGAAGTTAACTATAACACCGGAAGTTTCATCGTTAGAAATGTTCCGACTGGCCAAAAGAAGGACGACTCTTCTATGAGAATATTCTTTCTTAAACAATTCGTAAGTTGAGGTTGTAAGCAATACATAAACATAGTTAGACATGCTAATCAGGAAATTAATTGCATATATGTTCTGTTTGAAGTTGCTATTGCTAAATGTAGGGCCGGTGTGATCACAGGTGCTCGGGTTCTGGAATATATGTGATATCATGATATAATCGCACCCACTAGATATCGCACCCCCTTATACTGATAAATCATATGATTTATTAGTATAAGGGAGTGCGATATCTAGTGGGTGCGATTATATCACATATATTCCAGACCCCGAGCACCTGTGGCCTAGATCACGGGCGTTAATCTAACTCTAAACTCGTCTGTAAAGTATATCGTTGTATAATTTAAAACGTTATTTTGAATAGATGTGATTTATTTGACAGACGAGATTAGTGCAACCCTTAATTCTTCTGGTCACACACCAAACTTTTTGACGAGGCATGTATCTATGAAAATGTCAAAAAGTTTGTTGTGGACTGTTGAGCTAGAGAAACTGGTTACTGAGGCCTAATGTATGTTTATTTTTTACAGCATAGGATATTTGCCCGGTAGCAGGGTATACCTAAACTGGTATAGAAGTAACTTTAGATCTGTTCCTTACCATTAATCCTTTTGTAACAGGAAAGGGAAGAGTGTGCTTCCACCAGGGATCAAACCCTCGATCTCCAGGTTCCTAGTCGGACATTCTACCACTGAGCTCCAGGGAAATTCCCTCTAGCTCGAAGCTAGAAGGTTATCTTAATCATATATGTACAATTAAAATCTGCCACACTACTCCCCCCTTTTTAAATGTGTTTGCTCTCGAACACCAAAGCCCAGGTTCTAACTTCCTGTCACCACAGGGAGGGCCAGGGATAACATTTGTAACTGGAAAGAGAATAGTGTGCTTCCACTGGGGATCAAACCCTCAATCTCCATGTTCCTATTGGACGCTCTACCACCGATCAGCTAAAGGGAAATTCCCTCTAGCTCGAAAGCAACCGTAATCCTATGTACAATTAAAACCTGCCACACTTTGTTGGAAAGAGGAAATCAGTACTTGGGTGAGAGATCATAGTCCTTTTTGATTCAGCATAACATCCCAAGAGCTATAAACCTCCCTGCCATACCATACATCTATGGGACAAGGTAGACATCAATGGAATGCAGATCTATATATATACAGACATATCTCTCTCATCCCATCTCGACTGGCACATTGACAGCATTAACATTATGTGGCAGGATTTCTGTTAATTTTTTTTAGCAGTCCAAGAATCTAAAAATCCACATCAAACAAGATCATGCTTCACCAACCCCTGGATAAACATGGCTCGAAGCTTCAAGGCGCTTAATCATTCAACAGGACAGAACGCATCAGAAGGCCACGCAGAGTCACAAACAGATCCAAAGTCGTGGACGGATTCAGAGTGCTGAAATCTAAAACTGAGCAGTCAGTTAGGCAAGCACATGCCTGCTACCTGCAAGACATCATCAGCTCTGACGCGTCCCAGAACCCCAAGAAATTCTGGTTGTATATTAAGGGCAAATGCCAGGAGTCCTCAGGTGTGTCTTCACATCGTGATAGTGACAGATTTCTCCATAATAACGCCAAGACCAAGGCAAGGAAAAGTTCAAGTCAGTATTCACCAGAAAAGACATGAGCTCTCTCGAGCTCCCTGCCAAAGGAACCAGTCCCTACCAAACTATGCCAGGCATACATGTGACAGCCTAGCTAGGAAGTGGCTAAATGGCTGAAAAACCAGAGACCCCAGAAAGCTGCAGGTCCAGACCAGGTGCCAGCCCGTCTACAACTTCTCATTAAAAGTGGGATATGTATCAAAAGATTGGAAAGTTGCAAACATTGTCCCTATCTTCAAGAAGGGAAACAAGTCCAAGGCAGTGAATTACAGATCTGCGTCACTGAAGTTGATCTGCTCTTAGCTCATGGAACACATCCTACACAGTTGCATGGCGAGGCTGTTAGACCACCATGACATCCTTACAGATAAACAACATGGATTCCTTAGAGGTTGATCCTTTGAAACTCAACTGATCTACACAGTCAATGAGCTCATCATGGCCAGGAACATTTCAGGAGGAAAACAGATTGCCATGATTCTTCTCGACTTTTCGAATGTGTTTCATAAAAACTTTCCACACCAAAGACTGCTTCACAAGCTTGACTTCTACGGAATACGCAACAATACACATGACTGGGTTAAGGACTTCCTGAGTGGTAGGAAGCAGAGGGATCAATATCCCCAGAAGCAACAGTGGACTCCGTGGTCCCCCAGGTAACTGTCCTTGGCCCACTTTTATTCCTGCTGTTCATAAACAACATTCCAGAAGTAGTGACATCAGAGGTGAGGCTATGTGTAGACGACTGTCTTCTCTACCGTACAATCAACAGCAGACAGGACAAGATTGTGACAAGAAGTCCTGGGAGATGTCATTCCACCCAGAAAAGTGTTACCATCATCATCTCTAAGAAAAGATCCCCCTCAACCCTACACCCTACACCCTTCACCCTTCACCCTACACCCTACACCCTACACCCTTCACCCTACACCCTACACCCTTCATGGACACACATTAGAGAATGTACCAGGGAGTTAGTACTTGGGAGTTTACATCCGTCGGGACTTTTCTTGGGGAAAGCTTACATCAGTCCAGAAAGTGGGCAAAGCACATTGAACATATAGCTGTCAAGGCCACCAGATCCCTAGGATTCAAGAGAAGAAACCTCAGAGGTGCACCATGAATGTGAGGAACCAAACTTTTACTACCCTTGTTTGACCCATTCTGGACTGTCCTGCTACAGCCTGGGATCCTCACATCAAACAACAGGGTGTCACATTAGAGAAGGTCCAGAGACGAGCTGTACAATTCCCCTGTAACAACCATCACAGTAAGGAGCCAGGGTGTATTTCTGGTATGCTACAGCAGCATGGGTGGGGACCCCTGGAAACGCGTCATGCTAGAGCTGTCATGTTTTACAAGATTGTTAACCACCAAGGGGCCATTCCACTCCATGAAGATTGCTGATGCCAGAACCAGAGGATCCTCAGCGAACAAAATACCATTCTTACCCAGAACCAACATTGCCTGGGATGAGATAGCAGCAGAGACACGCTCCAAACCATCTGGGGACGGGATTCCGATCCGCATTACAGCCTGCGAATCTGACTAGAATTTATTTTCATCATTAGTTTCATCACCTGCTGTTTTTAACCTTTTAATTGTAAATAGCGGATACTTTTAGCTAGTGGCTCCCTTAGGTATCAGAGAATTTTCACTCTGTTGGAGTATTCTCGAATCCCCATACAGGAAGATTTTTTTTTGTCTATATTGCAGTCAGTTACCAATTTAATGTGGCTATTTGACCTGCAGCAGCATACTCGATAAGAATATATATAGCCAGTAACATACTATAAAAATCTTCCAATACCCAACTGCCACTTACCTAAAAAAGCACCCAGCTGTATAACAGGAAAGAGATTATTGTTCCCGCTGGGATCAAAAGTCTGAATTGGTGATTGTCCTCCAGCTTCCCAGTCTGCCGCTCAACCATTTGAGCTAATTGGAAATTCCCTCTACATGTATATATAGCTAGTGCCAAGCTAGAAGGTAATCGTAATATTATATACAATGTGAGCATGATATGTAGTCTGATAAGAGTTGTACACTTAATAAAGTTAAGCTATTAACCACCTATTTTTGTTTGATTTATGAATGTATAAAAGACATTAATTTCATTGAGATTAAATTAATTTCTTCGAAGCTATTAAGGAAATAGTAAATTTATAGTGAATATAACGGCAAAATGGTTTAAATGAAGCCTTCCTTGAGTGTCAATAGACTTTTAAATGGTTTGCGAATCGAGTTGTCAGAATGATTATTATTTTGTACATGAATAACAACTAAGCGTACATACGCTTATAGCGTATCCGAGTTAACTTAGATTATATGTATTGCCAACCCGTACATATATTACACCTTTGTGTACATACACTTTACTGGTCATATGTCTGAAAATGACAGGGTACGTATCATACTAGTACCGAAACGTCAAACATAAACACTTACTGGTTGTGATACATAACGGTTACCTTTCTACTATTCATACTTATCAACATGAAGAAAATGTTTATAACATCAGGGGCGGTGTTTGGAGGAATTGTCCATCTTATAAAGAGTGTTCCTCAAGGATGAGAGAAGGGATTTAAATGTAAAAAACTGGTATGGAATATCTTTAGGCAAATGGCTATGGATGGGGAAATCAGTTGCAGCAGGCAAATACTAACCAAACTTGGAGCAAATGATAATTTCATGGCCATGATCAAATGATAGTTTTAAGGGCTGTTAGGGACATTTTTTACATCTAAGTTTCCTGCATGCTGCTTCTGACTAATGTATACAAATATTCATCTCTTAACCAAGCGCTGTTATTTGACTTCTAGAAACTGAGCAATACAGGCACAATGGACCTCTTGTTAAACTTAGCGGCGTCGTAATAAAAGCTCTACAGAGCTTATGTTTGTTGTTGACAATTGTACACAACGTTAAATAAAGATTATTATATTATATTATTATTATTATACACTGTTTTCTTTCTCTTTCAGACTAATTGATAATTAATTACCAGTTGTATATCACCATGGCAACAGAAAAGAGCACTAGTTCCAACCCCCTGGAACAATTTGTTCTGTTAGCCAAGACTATGAAGGGTGCTGCTGCAGTGGGCCTGATCAAACAGGCCCTGGAGGCTCCGGGCGTGTATGTGTTTGGAGAGCTCCTCGACATGCCAAATATTCAGGAGGTAAAAATATTAACATGCCTTTATTTCTTGTCAAAGTGAACAGTTTCTTCCATTCTAGTACATTGTACCATATTTTACTGGTGATAATCCAATGCCGGGTAATAAGGCACATGTACAGTAGTCTAGTGGTAGGAAGCCGGGCTCGTGTCTGAAGGGTTCGAGTCACCACTGCACTGTGTTGCATCTTTGAGCTTGTTCCAGTCTACTCAGCTGTAAATGTGTATGTGGTTGGGGAATTGTTGAATGCTAGCTGTGAGTGCCAAAATGGCAGCATCGGCTGTATGCTCCCCAGGGAGTTGAGAACGATATTTGGTGGTTGCAAAGGCCCTTTAACCATGGATAATAATTTGTGAACCACTTTGAGACGACCTACAAACTAAGTTGTGATAAAGAGGTATATAAGAACCTTGAATCATTAATTATTATTATCATAGCTCATCCCCTATCTTGCAGTTCGTTAGCATCGGTAAAAAGAACAGTTTTTGTGGTGTTGTACGTCATAGCCTTTTATTAGGTCACCTGAGCTTTAGCTCAAGTGACCTATTGCTATCCGTTTTCGTCCGTCGTCGTCCGTTAACATTTTACATTTCAAACTTAAAGTCAAGTTCTGCTGGGCCGATTGAACTGAAAGTTGGTAGGAATGATCGCCTCATGGTCCTGACAAAGTGTTGTTATTTTT